CTACAGACCACATCAGCAGTTGTTAAGGAAACATTGGTACAGATGGTCTAAAACATTGAACATGAAACAAGAGTTGCTGAATCATCTTTCAAGGTCTTTCAACCGGCTCCAGACGTTACAGGCAAATATGAAACGCGATACCGTCAGGGAAAGCCTAAGGTTCCGGGTCGATCTCCTACAGCTGTTGGAATTTCAGTACAGCGAGACCGTGGCTACCGCTGTCAATAGCCGTTGCATCCCGTACGCCTTAATGGTGAAACCAAAGTATAAAGCCTAGCGAGGGCGGATCCGGAGGGCTTCCGAGTTGCTGTGTGCATCGGCTTTGTTGAACCCGCATTCGGCTTTGTAGCAGATGTTCTTCAGCTTGCAAATTGCCCTAGTTAAAGTTGAATTGGGGAAGACAACTAGGTGGGGCCCAGCTAAAGTCTGCCGGTGGGACGAAAAGGGTTAGACGGCAGGAATTGCGACCTGCAGGTACAGGAAACAAGGTTCTAGCATGGACAGACCTCCGGAAGATGCAAACCTGAACACGTCGCAGTAGAGGTACGAGTTGTACCGTCATTGATCTTTGGCAGTGCCAGCATGTTCCTGGAGAAGCTCGAATTCACTGCCCAATGCCTCGAAACGAATAGAAAGTGGAGCGAAGACGAACACCTATAATTGGACTCGATGAGGTAATTCCTGTGTGCAAACGGTCTCCATGAAAGCGGACTACGGCGCATGGATAGCCACCTGGGCGTGTGGATACACCGGTGAAGATTGTGTCCGGAGGTTCGGGCGCCGAGCCTAGCACATAGGAGCCCGCTAGAGGGGTTCTCGTGAGGAGTAGCGCAGTTGTTATGCAGCCAACGTCATCTACACAACGGGGAGGCGACTGATAGGAGCAGCTCGTTGGAGCGCAGAGGTGTGGTGCGTAAGACGTGGGCCGCCGGTGCGTGGGAGCAGCAGCAAGGTGGAGGTACCGAGCAGTTCTCGCCGATCTGTGGCCAGCCGCCAGCGACCACTGCAGGAACAAGGGGAACCACGCAGCGGCCAGGAACCACTGGGACTATCGAGACTAGAGACGTGTTCAGCTCCGGCGTCGGTGGGAGTTGGCGTGCACAGTCGTGTGCACAGCTGTGGTGATGGTGGAGGATGTTCCCGAGCACCTGCGGGCGTTCTTTCCAGTCCATGGGCCTACTGAGGTAGGCAGCCTTGGCACAACAACACACGTGAGCACGCTTTCACCTCCAGCCTCGGGGAAATCACAGGCCGACGACCGGCTACCTCATGCATCTGCACAAGAACCTCAACGACGGTAACACCATCATCGGACATTTTGACATCAGTCGGTGTGCTCACATTGCGTCCATGCAGCTGGTGTAGTAGCTGACGGCCCACCACCCCCACACGGCTCACGCCTCAAGTATTGGATCTCATTACAGGCGCATTTCCGAAGAAGAAGAAAGCGTAGAGATAGGCGCTCGTCACACATGTTTGTGGAAATCTTGGATGGAGCCGTGGTACAGCGGCTGATGCGAGGGCCTACAGCCCTTACTGCTGTTGTACGCGACTGCATCACAGCATGATACGAGCAGAAGGACCGTGTTACAACACCGCCGTACCCAGAACCGTCGCAAGCTCAAGGCTATGCTACGCTGGCGGTGCGACTGCGCCAAGGTGGCGCTCTGTGCATGCTGAGTCTCTTGGGGACAGCCAGGAAGGCACATCAGAGGGGTCTCACAACTCACGATAGCCAGCACCCGGTCATCGCTGTCGTGGGGCTCTGAAACATGTTTGGAACTTACCGGGCCCGAGACATCACCACATGGACTTTGACCTCGACGAGGGCTGTTCGCGATTTCAGATCGATCCGCCCACGAGCCCTGTGTAGATTGAGACGTCTGAGTGAGGCGGGGTATCGAGTCCTTGGACACATCGTCGGCCATGGTAGGGGCTCTCTTCGGTTGTTTCAGGTTCCGCCGTCTCACGAGCGAAGATCTGCAGATGGGACGATGCTCTAGCCTCTCGTCTTTTGCTCGGACGCTTATCGCGATCCCTTTCTGACAGTTTGATTGTTCCGCGCCAGTACACGACGACGACATGCGTCAATACTTAGAGTTGCGCTTCTTGTCGACAAGCTTAGCCACAGATCCAGTCCAAAGTGGCAGACATGTTGATGCTTAGGCCTTATGCGTACCCATGTGCCCCCAGCACCAGGCCTAACCCTGCACGCATTTGCGCCGTGCCCGCCTGAAATCGCGAACCGGCATATTCGGCACTAACAGCACAAATGCTGTACGTAGCTGCCAAAATCATACTCTCCCCGACTGAGGATACCCGCTCGTATTGTCAGCACAATTTTACGCGTGCTGTGCTACGAAAGCTTCGTTGTCCGCGAACACAGCAGCGAGAGCTTACCTTCCCAGCCACGACACGTCTTTCGACGCGTTGCCAAATCCTCTCGGATGCACAACAACATACGGCCGACATTTCAAGCAAATTGGACCTCACGGCCTCGTAGCATAGCGGGCCTGGACGTGGTCAGAGCAGATATGCAGCAGATTTAACCGTTTATTTCGCTGCAACGTCCAATCAGCGCCCGCTATATCTGCCCCTGCAACGTTATATTGCGCAGGCCGACCTGTCGGGCCGCGTTCACTTGCGCGCTCATCGTCAGTGGCTCACGAGCCTTGTGAAGTCGGGCATCCCCCGTCTCCTGCACCCCTGTTTCCGTCATCCCCCAGCCACTAACAGATGCTCAGGCGCCGTCGCTCAGCGGCAGATACCCATGTCTTTCTCTCCTGCTGGCGCGCAGCGAGCCCTGTCCTGGCTCGTCCTGGATGTCACTAACCTGGTGGAGCACACTGAGCACCTTCCATCTTCTCCACATACTCTCCGCTGCTCGTCCAAGCCGGCCATGTTCCTACATAGTGAGATCATCCCTACATTTGCTGTTACTTTGCCGGCCACAAAGCTTCTTGTTCCCGTGTCACGGCATGCAATACTGCGGCATATGCCAATGATCGCTCTCCAGCAACTACAATCCTTACTCGAATCTTTGCTCGGCTACCTGGACCGTCCACCACTCCCTCTCATTCGCAACCACCGCTTGTCTCACTTCGGTCTGTGCAGTTCGCCAACCTTTACTCGACCCTAACTCCTTGACCGCATCCTCGTGTTATTCCCACACGGAGGGCAGAACCCCTTCATCAGCCGTTGCCCTGCAGTGGTCCGTGTTCAGGCTCTTACGTTCTCTCCTCCCCTGCAAATAAGTTGTCTACTTGACCAGGTACGCATATATTACTTTGGTTGCTATTGCATCTCAACTATACCTTTACCCTCATTTGGCACGCCTGGATCCTAGCCTTGGCCCAAGTTCAGTCATCTCGCCTCGTCCAACCTCGATCCCTCCAACTCAGGTCTTGTGTACCAATGGCAAGTCGTTCGCATACATCACTAACGCCTCCAGCAGGCGTATAACCCGGGCATCTGAACTCACAACATCCGAGCTCGCGTGCGCGCGACAGGTTTCCCCAGATCATCTCATCAACTTCAATGGTTGTTGCCATAACTACATCTGCCGGCCACTTGTGGGGACCTGCACACGCCATACTAGCATTGCTCGGTTCGCGTTGCTTGCGTTAGGCTTTATTTTTCTGGGGTTCGTTCAGGCTCCCAAGCCATGTTTTCGTTCCATAAAACCGATGCCTCCCGGTCTCGACAGTCATCCGTCGACTCTCAGGCCATTGGGCCTACCATTCCTACCGCAAGTTCAGACTTTTGGTCAGAGCAGTACTCCTCGCATTCAACTCATCCTGGCATGCATTCGCCCGAGCAACACAGAGCCCATCCGGCCAGACGAAGTTCCGTGTTCAATCTACGGTCTAGAAGCAATACTGCGACATCTATGACCCCTTCGCTGTTGTCTCTCAGCCATTCCGAGATGGCTGATCATGAAGCTTCTTGGCATGGCTCACCACCTGGACATCGACACACCAGCAACAAGAGTCATAAAGAGTCTACCGGATCTAGGAGGTCGTTGTTCCGCGGGAAGAAGGGCAAGAGGCTGAGCGAGACGCCCATGATAAACGTCGATGAGTTCGAAGGGGACGTCAGCGAAAGACGATCATCAATCTTACGGAAGGGCAAAAGAAGCGAGGATGCTAGTAAGTGATTCTTCTCCCCTGATCCAAGGCCCTCTGCTTATCGTGACAATAGGTACGAGCCTGATTAGCCGTATCTCGAGCCCATTCGACTTTCAGCACCTTTCTCACACCGACCGACATCAAATAGCTGCTCTCGAACAGCAGTTGCCCGCCACACCATCCGATGACGTCCATTTCAGGAACTTCTCTTCTGAAAACCTGGCAAATGGAGAAGAGAGATCCACGTCTGCTCTAGGCTTCACATCTCCCCCTCGTAGCCCAGAACCTCGTCACGATTCCGAAACTGTCCCCCACTTCCCAATATCGCGACGACCCCTTCGCCTAGCCCGATCTATAGAGAGCTTCTCCCAACCTAGCCCTCGGAAACATACGCACACATCGTCGATACAGTCGCCTCATCTTCCCTTGGGACCCGCCTTCGGTACACCTGAGTTCGCGTACGAAGAGCCTACTTCTGGTCCGCGTAGGTTGTCGCGGTCGAAGCGAGAGTCGGGTATCTGGGACTCATTTGCTCTCTCTGCTGTGTCCACCCCGGACATACTACCTGAGATATCAGAAGATTCGTACTTTGGCCATGCAGTCACGACGCCTGATGATTCAGCCATTCACGCAACCACACCGCCATCCTTCAGTCCTAGTCTCGCAGATGTTGTCGAGGAACCAGAAAGATTCGTCAGCCCAAGACCTGCACCACAGCCCCCAATGAAGTCCCCGACTTCGCCGAGATCGCCTTACTTTGGATCGTTTTCCTTTCAAAATCCGCGATCTCCCGTTACCTCTAGATCACAGGGTAGAGGTCAGTCTCCTGCTTCACCAAGGGCAGAGCCTTCAGCTTCACGACCCTCATCGCAAATGTCTGACACGCTGGGCTCATTTGGCATGCCGAGGAGGATGTCTATTCGAAAACCTTATCAGCGTCGCCAGTCAAACACATGGCGCGCAATAGAGGAGTCATGGGAAGAAGATGTCGACTATATCTACGACAACGCTCTAGAAGCTGACTGTGACTTCGAATGGGATCGAGTATCTGATGACGGTGTTCGCTGTTGCGACACTCCTTCTGCTGAGCAAGCCAATCGTCGCAACTCCAGAATCACTTCCGCTGATCGAGAGCGTTTCGCCTCTGACAATTTCCGCTCATCTTTGCTGGTTCCCAGCACATCGAGTGTGCCAGAACTGGTTCCGACATCTGCGATATCCACATCCACCCTCAGCACTGGCCTCCCACCGACACCCTCAGGATTCTTCCATGCCAACCGTTTCAGTGGCGACACTGGCTTCATGCTAAGCCCGTCCCTTCTTGTCCCGCAGGAATACAAGGATACACGAGAAGTCACATATGAGGACTTGCTTGACGAGTACGCCGCGTCCGACCGGCACTTTCCAATGCTCGACGCCGGTCGAAGCACGACGAGCTCGGCGCGTAGCAGTCACGTCCGACTAAGTAGGCGAAGCTCTTACGACAGCAGCCTCATGTCCTCTTCTCAGAGCTGCGGTCTTTGGAGCTCCCCTGTGAGGCGCTCGGCAAGCTCTGCCGGCAGTGTCCCAGAGCTGATTCCGTCCCGTCGTAGCCGCAAGTCGCTTGGCTTCAGTCTTGCAGCCGACCAGTTTTCAGAGCAGATTGCGTTCCTTAACGAAGACAAAGAGGACGATGACATTACGCCACCAGGGCGTACCCTAGAAGGGCGAACATTCTTCGCTTCAGACGACGAAGCGCCTCAAGATGAGGAGCAATCTCGCAGCTCCATTGAGACCGAGCTCAGAGCCTCGCTTGATTTGGCTCGACGTGGCTCACAGCGTGCCAATCACTCTACTGTCGAAGAGGAGCTCAAGTCGTCGCTCGACCTTGCGCGCCAAGGGTCGCAGCGTTCCACCCGTGCACCAGCGCGCCAGCACAAACCCGCCCTGTCTGAAGGTGCCGCCAAGTTCCTTTCCGTCTCTGCTCCGAAGGAGGATCAACCAACCAAGCCACGTAACCGCGCAGCGACCACCGCGCAGTCTCGCTCCCCTATGTTGTCTCTCTTCCCGACACCCCCACGCAACATATAAAATACTTCGCAGATGTAAATCAAGCCATGACCATCAGCGACCTCACCCACGACGCACACAGTAATAACTCCATCCACCCCGCGTCCCTGAATCGAAGCCCAGGAGGCTCATGAAGCATGGCTGGCTATGCTTCATGTCACGCTATCAACGACACACAATTGCATTCGATGTACATATTGACGAGTCATGTTCTCTCCCATCTTACATATCTACTAGCAGTCCCATCATTGACGGAAGACTAAAAGTCGGAAGGTCTCTTTTTAGTTTCGCGCATTTCGGGTCCTTCTGCGTCAGCTTTTCACCAGCTCGCTTGTATGCATTTTTCGGCGCACCTTTGTCTCATTACATAGACCTATCTTGCCATATCCGCGCACAAATCATCTCCTATGTCACAGAGGAGAGGAAACTTTCGCAAAGAGCGCGAGAAGTAATTACTAGCTGTTTTTGGAATCATCACACTCGACAGTTGTCACAGTCGATCTTGCTCTCTTTTTGAAAGATGCTTGCGAGCGTTGCAGCACAAATCAAATCAAACTTTTCAACACTTCTACATTTGTGAAATTCAACGCTTCTGCCTGTTACTTGCCCATACTCAGCTGCGCTGGACCACGTACGTACATGGTGCGTCACCCTGACATACACAACTCCCTGTGATTTCGTCGCCACCTTTCGACGATCCACAGATCCGACCCTTACGATCCGCGCCGCAGCTCACCATCGGATTCGCAGGCCCGCCCTGCATGAGCTTGTCCGCTCGCGCCATTGGCGTAGTACATGCAGGTTGGACGGGAACTCAGGGAAAACCTTGGAAGCAACACCGTCGCTTGAGCGCGACGCGACGTCACGTCATCAATATGAACGCGCGCAAGCCTGAATGAGCAACACGAGGGTTTCGCATAGCCGCGAGAAGACGTGCAGTGTAGTCCGGATAGTTCAACACCGGTTCCCCTGATGGAGCATGGGTTTGAACTGGTCTAACGTGAACTGCGCAACGGGACCCGTTCTCCAGCCTTTTGTCGCGTGCTTTCCATCTATGCCGTGTTACCCAGATACTCATTTGGCTACGAAATGGTGCAGATTGACGCAACGCCGCAATTAATGTTGGCGGCTGCAGCGTATAGGCGCATGTGGCGAGACGCAGCGCGTCGTCCTGAAGGGGATGTAAACAAGTGGGTTTCCCGTCTCAATTGGTTACGGGGCCGATGCCTCGAGACGGACTTTTCGCAATGAAGTCGCCCAAAGAGACCGGTGTCGTGGTACCGAATGACTAACGACAGACACATGCAGTGGAGATTTTTGTGTTGGTATCGGAGGTGACTTAGCTGTTGGTGGGTCACCGGCGTCTAGCCCTCTAAGGACCTTTGACGGTTTTGGAAGCCATCAGATCGATCAGATAGTCAGTCCACCGCGGACACACGACCGTTTGGGAAAGCATGTTAAAAATGGTTACGATGACCGCGGCGTCAAGGGTTTTTACCCTGCACTCTGTTCGCCTATGCACCCGCGTATCGCAGAAACTGGGGAGGCGAGCAGCAAAGCGCACATACTGATCTGACAAATACCATGTCCTTAATGTTGGGGCGGTAATAGTAAGGATACTGAAATAGGAAGCAGTCCGGGAACGATCCACTCTATCCACATGGCAGCTCCACCAAAGCATCCATTTTGAAGGTGAGTACTGACGAACTTCTGCTCACCGGAGCATAGACTCGATCCGGTCCTCTACCTATACTGCCGCTCTATGCGCAACCAACCGCGCCTAATACCAACAGATTGCAAATGCAGGAACCACATCGTCCTCCATCCGAACCCCGGAATGAAATGCGCGCAAGTCCATAGCGATACCGAACCGAAGACGATCGTCCGGGTAAAGGTCTTCAGAGACCCCAGCCACATGCAAGTCAACTACCAGGGCATACACACGGAGCGGGACGTTCGTTATAGGTCCTGCTATGGGCCAAGGCGTAGAGAGTGTGTGGCTCGGGTAATAGAGAGGTCGTTTGGAATTACCCGTGCCGCTGAACGTGCTCGAAGCGAAGTCGGTTGTGCTCTTACATGGGACCTGTGTTTTATGTGCTCCGCAGGCATCAGTAAGCGTGCGCATGCATATGCACGTGTAAGCGACTTCAGGATGACATTGTGACGAATCGAGGGTAGAAGCGCGGTGCCCGTCCACAAAGAGACGGAACGACTAGCCTGAATGTCGTTCGAGATGCTGTTTCATGTGCGGTAGAACGTTCGTGAGGCTTCCTGAGGCATTCATTCAGCCTATGCGAGGTGTAAGGACTTCGCCGGTTACTCTTTTGATCGACAGCTGCTGCATTCTCAGAGTCCATCTCCAGCAGAGTAAGTACCTTGACTTGCATTGCATCTGATGAGTTGTCTTGATCCAGGGCAACCATGACGATCGCGCCAGTTCCAACAACTTCTGTATGTCTCTCTAACTTCCAGCTGGCCTTAGTGTCGATTTGGATATCGGTCCAGCTTGAAGCAGCTTCTGTGCGATGGTTATACATTAGTTTGTAACGATTAAGCAATGAGTGCTGACTGATTTTACATGGGATGGAAGCTGCTGGAAACCAACAATGAGGATCCAAACATTGAGGCCGCGCAGCTGTGCCGCAGTATGGTGGTGGAGTCGCTGCGATTGATACTCAATGACCTGCCAACACAGCATGTCGCACCGGCCACATCTGTACGCCAACCCTTCATGACAGCCTTCCAGGATTATAACATTGATGGGGACTCCGTTGTAATGTCTGCTCGAATACTAGACCGCATTACGAGCTTGCAGTTGTGCTTTCTTTGCGTTATTCAAGTCAGGCTCGTATCTTCATCCTCGCTAGTAGACCCATCTCTGCGCAACTCACTCTTATCGAAATTCCTTTCCACCTAATAAGTTAAGGGTTTGACGCAATCCTGGAGAAAATGGACGTGTCGCACTGCAAACCTTACGGAGACATCGGCTCTTGTCATCAACAATCGACCCAACTTTCGACAGATTGGGATCGATAGGTCTTATTCAAAGATAGCGGAACACGTAGTAAGGTAGCCGGCGGGATGTCGTTCAGCTTCTCAAAGACGTGTGTCGTGAGTGTCAGAAAGATCTAAGTGTCAACTAGTTGCGTGCTGCGTCTGGGCGGTCTTATCTCCGATGTCGCATACGTCATCAGTGGCCAACACTTTCGCGACGCGACACTCTGCTTTCATACGCCACTTGCCATGTGGACCGCGCCTACTACTTGATATATCTGGAACCCCAAATATCACTTCTGGTCACAGTTTGCGCCCTTCATTAGACCTTGCACGCCCTCTCAAGTTCCCTGGTAGACTGCAATACAAGCCGCGCATCATGGCCTTCCGGATGGGCCGCTTTGTACCCGGGCCTGCCCGCTTTGTACCCAGGCCTTCACGCCTCACACCGCGGCGTCTTTTGTTCATCACATCTGCGGGCGTACTTTTCTGGTTTTTGTTCTTTAGTTTGACCCCAATTACCTCGCCGCTTCCGCCTTATACCGGACCCCATGAGGTTGGCATACTGGATGTTGAGACAGAGGTCCAAAAGAGAACCATCCATGATGCGATACTGAAGGCGACTGGGGAGAAGGCTTTCCAATTGGATACGTTGGCCATCACCTTATACTACCCATCCTCTCTGCCTCTGGCGCCGCCTAGCCAGCGACCATGGGCACGACCGTGGCTGCCTCAACCTGTCTCGCTTATTGGCGAAGGCTATGCTCGCCTTGCCGGAGTGTCGAAATTATCTTCGGTCTTCACGTTCGGCCTCTGGCTCCTTGGTTCAAGCACAGTCATTCCAGGTGTCGTTGATGCACCAATCCTTTCCAGTGCTGAGCAAATTTTGGGCGAAGATGGTAGTGGTGCAGGCGAATTTGGAAAGATCATGAGCGCAGCAGAGCAAGAACATAAAGAGTTAAAACGAGGCGACGGTCTTGGAAGTTTGCCCTGCGTTGTCTTTACGCATGGCATGGCAGGAATGAGCCAGAGTTATGCACACTACCTGGGAAGCATTGCAAGCCACGGCTACGTAGTCGCTGCCGTCGAACACCGTGACGGTAGCGGACCCGGTACCATCGTCCACCATCCTGATGGTACGGAGCGAAAAGTCTGGCACATGAAGCTCAAGGACCTAGAAGCCGATCCGCCGATGACCGACCTCGACCTCAAGGCCGCACAGCTCAACTTCCGTGAAGCTGAGATCAGCGAAACCATCAAACTCTTTGCGCAACTCAATGCAGGTGACGCACCGGTCGTGAACCTCAAGCCAGACTCACCGCGGAATGCTTTGCCTGGTTTCAAGAACCGCCTCAACCTGTCAGCAGTCACAGTCGGAGGTCACTCATACGGCGCGACGGGGGCTATGCAAGCACTGAAATCTGCTGGCTCAAAGACAATGCCTATCAATGGTGGTATTGCCTTAGACCCAGGCAAGGGATCTGGACCCCTGAACAAGGACATTGACGTACCGATACTGGTCATGCAGAGCGGAGAATGGACAGAAAAGCAGACGGCTTTCTACGATGAAGGATGGCACTTTGAGGCCGTGAAGAATATCATCGATAACGTTAAGGAGGGGTGGTTCATGACCTTGTTGGGTACCGCTCACCCGTCTTGTACCGATGCGCCTCTTATCGTTCCTTGGATCATGAAGATGGTCACCGGTACGACGCTAAGTAGCAAGGTTGCTCTCAAGGAGTACATCGACGCTTCGGTCGCCTTCTTAGAATACCTGCGGACAGGCGAGAAGAAGGGGGTTTTGGAGAGCGGGGTCACGAACGCTGGAGGGCCTTTCACACACGACAAACCACATGGTAAAGTCCAGGGCCCGGACGGCGCTGACTGGGAGGTTCACACTGTTCCGAAGTCGTTGTAGGCTGCGCATCTTTTTGTAACACTATAATACTACAGCAAGTAAACGTGCTTTATCCACCTCTTTGTGCGTGACCGAGCCTTAAGCTGATCCACTCTGTCTCAATGGTACC